TTCTCAGCTCTGTAAGGTAAACAAACACCCCATTTCTTTAATAACCATCTAGTTTATTAGACAGTCAGATGAGTCCCTTACCTCATCCATCATTTTTATTTTTATTGTGCAGCCACTAGATGTATGTTTGAATGTGAGTACTTAAGGGACCAGGAATGAGAGACCCTTTTATGAATCTGACCATGTGTTTCTCAGAAGGCCGTTACTAGGGGAAAATTGTTGCATAAATAATGTACAACTGCCCATGTCTAAGCCCTGTTTTTCTCCAATAGCACATAGCTTCAGAGGCGCTACTTTTAGAAATGTTTTAAAGAGTGTTAGAAGCAGTCAAGAGTAAAAAGGAGCAAACAGCATTTTATAGCTAAGCAGTTAAGGTAAAATGGGTATTTCTGCCAGTGATTCTCTCCTTTGTGTGCATGCATTCCCTAGTTTTTTTTATTTTTTTTATTTTTTTTTAATGTGTTGTAATTTAGATTTGCTGTCTCCCAAAGGTTTCGCTCTTGAGCAACGGTGAGTTGGCAAGTGTTACTCAGCTTCTTTGCTGATGGTTGTCTTAAGTCAAAGCAGAGATGACAGAAAACAGGGGAATGTGACCGTGTTGTTTGGTTTTTGTTTCTGGGTTTTGGTGGGCCTTTTTTAAAAAAAAGATGTGATATTATTGTTGGTCCTGGGAATGCTGTTTGTGTCCCCCTGACTTTGCTGTCTTAAATGTTCTGTAAATGCTTCAACTAGGGAAAGAAGGAAGACCTTTTTTCTTTATCTGTCTGTGCCTGCAACCCCTATTAACTCAAACAGGGAATATGCTTTAAAGTACCCTGCATATATAATAAATATATGCTTGTTTCTAAGATGACAGCTTAAACTCATAGCTGGCATTAAACCTTCTCACTTGGCTATAGGCTTTCACTATCCTCCATAAACCTGGCCTTGGCAACAACAGCAAAGTTTCCAGTAAGCAGTCTGACTAGAACAGGCTGGCTTCAGTGTCCTGGAGCTGGGATAGCATTTGATGGTCCCTTCATTACCTGTGAGACCATCTTTCAGGGTGACAGTGTATGCAGTTCATGCCAAGTCCCATACTAGGGAAGCTGAGAGTATGAATTTGCCAGGTGATTTTTCTGGCTGATGAAATACACTCCAACTGTTAATATTCATGTTTATTTTTTAAAATTAAGTGCTGTTAGAATGGTAGCCTGGAGGAAAGAGCCTCTCTGAAGGCTAGTGCTAGTTAATAGGTTCTTATGCATAGTAGACAGATGTCACTGAAGGAACTTTCCACAAGGCTGTTGTCAGAGCCTCCACTTAGTGTGAATATGTTTGCTATTCTCATCTCCTCTAGCTGAGGGAAGGTATGGTGGATCTGGAAGGGGTTCAGAGAAAGAACTGGTCAGCTGGGACTCTTCCGCATGTAAAAGAGGTGTAGTAGGAGTCTGTAAAACAGTGAGAGGCAAGGAGGGAGACCATTCACTGTTTCATCCTCCAAAAGAACTACAGTCAGCAAATAGAACTACTTGGAGCCAGGTTTAGATCAAACCAAAGGATGTGCTGTGTTCCACATACAACATGTATTCAAACCACAAAACTAAATGTAGGATGTCATGGTCAATGTAAGTTCATGAGTGGAGACATGGCAAACTGGTAGAAGGGAAAAACCATTGCTACTGACTAAATACCAACTCCATGTCTGCCTCTGCAAGTTTCTGATCCACAACTGATTGAGACATGAAATACGTGGGGGAAGTATATGCTTCTCCTGTTCCTCTGTCCTCTTCTAAACTTCTGCTTTTGGCCATGGCTGGAGGTGGAACAGGCAAGTTGGGCCTTTGGTTTGCCCCAGTATGTCAGTGTCACATTCTTCAGAAGGTAATGGAATAGATGAGACTTTCATAGTGGCTACTTCTAAACGTATGCTAGAAATGAGAAAAATCTGATCTCCCTGCTATCATTGCTAATGACAGCCCACTGAAGGCTGGTGATGATGGTGGATTTTGCATCAGTAAGTACATTTGATATCAACTGCACAAAACCTGTAAGGTTTGTTTCACTCAGCCTCTAACCACCCTTCAAACAGGAGTGACTACCAATTAGTTGTGTATTCTGGTGGTAAATGCCATGATTATTCAATTCCCACAGATTTCTGGTTAATACGTGCAGAGATATTTTGCCATTTTTTATGGCATAGTACAAATGTTAAGTATGTACAATTATCCTGTGTAATTTGCATACCTAACTGCAAATGTATGTAAAATAAGATACTGTCTCATTAAATGACATTTATTCTTTGGGGTTTTATTTCAATAAAAGTGGCACATTTTTTTTTGTTCTGACATACAAAAAACCTCCACTTTATTTTTTTCAGTCATTTTTAGTGCTAGTTTTGCAAGACTCAAAGGACTTGAGAGATCTTGGTTTGACTTTGCGCACTCAGGAAGCTTTTGAGATTTAGATAGAAAAATTCCTGGATGTAGTTCTCTTCAGCAGATTTTTTTTTTTTTTTCCTTTTACTCCTTACCTGAAACGATGATAGGGAATTGAGTCTCTGTTCGTGCCTTCCCCAAGCTGCATGAACGATCCTCCTCACCTGAGGGCCAAGGTGTGAACTGCTGCTGCCAGACCGCGGGTAAGCGGGGGCCCCTCGTGATGTAAGTGGTTTGTTAAGGAGCCCGCAGGCCTCTTGCTCAATGACTTCTCTGTCCACATACAGCTTGGGAACAGTCACGGAGCCTTTTTTTCAGATGTGAAATCTGTCAGCAAAGTGAAGTCAGCTTAAATATCAGCTGAGGCTTGAGCTCTCTCTCAGTTTTTGTTGACTTTATCCCCTCCTGCTCCTTCCTGATCAAGTTTCTCTCTGCTCGAGTCAGACTTGCCGACACTTAAAAGTTTTCATTCTGTGTTTCGGTTGTGTGGATTTGTGTGTAGCAAAGTTCAGGTGCCCTTTGCATTCCCAGACTCAACAGTGGTCTGAAATGCTGAGGGGAGGGAGACCATCTGGGGTCTTTGAGACTCTTCAGCTAGTACAGTTCAGTTGAAAACCAGTAAAAGTGCCTCTGGTACCAAAGCATGGGTTCAAACTTAAACAGGGGACATTTAGGTTAGATACAAGGAAGAAGTTCTTTACTGTGAGGGTGGTAAGGCACTGGAACAGGTTACCCAAAGAAGTGATGAATGCTCCATCCCTGGCAGTGCTCAAGGCTAGGTTGGACAGAGCCTTGGGCAAATTGGAATCCCTGTGATGAGGGATCCCTGCCCATGGCAGGGGGTTGAAACTTGATGATCTTAAGGTGCTTTCCAACCCGAGCCATTCTATGATTCTGTGATGCTGTGCAGATCTAGAGATTTTTGTGTTGTATCTGCTGCTACCAAACAGAGGAATTCTAGTTGTGAATCAGCACCTCTTCTGTTACCCAGCCATGGAACAAAAGTTGCTCTCTGCACCAGGATTTTTCACTAAAATAATAGACACAACTGATGAGGTACAGACAGGCAGGAAAAATGCATTGAAACAGTGAGTGTGCGAGAGCTGTGTGCTGAGCAAGTCCCGGGGGCAGAGTGCTAAAGTCATGCCATGTCTGCTGACTGACTGCGCGAACATGTACAGGTTTGGGATGAACCTGTGGTGCCATTGCCTGTCAGTGTTGAAGCATTTTATATACTGAAAGCTTGAGGGGATTCTTGGCTGTGGCAAGGAATTTCAGATGTTGTGGCTTATTTATAAAAAGAAAAGAAAAAAGACAGTAAACTGTGAGGGAGAGGAGAGCTAGGCAAAGAGAGAACTGCTTCTGTTTTGTGTCACTTTCCCACGGATAAAAGCTAGGAGCTATATTGTCATTTTTTTACCTTAGACATGTTTTAAATCATGTGATCAGCTGCCTTAACTGCTTTCTGTCCTACATGCATGTTTTTTTTCTTTCTGTGATACCTTCAGTGGTTTCCAAAGTTGAAATAATTTTACTACTCTCAAAGGGTCAGAATGTTTGAAGACTTCTGATTGAGAACAACTGGCTGTTGAACCAAATCGGTCTTTATGTCCTGCAGGTACTTTGTGCATTGATTCCCCCTTTAATGGCTGGTCTATGTGAGAGGCAGTCTGGCACCTCTCCATGCACCAGTCACATCTCTGCAGGCAGTCATTGAAGAGGTAGTGTTAGGGTTGAAGGTGCCAGGCGGGCTGCAGAAGCCACTTGAGGGCTTCTTTCTGTTCTCTGGTGCATGCCATCTGTGTGCTCTGCCCTCTGGTTGATGATGTCTTTGGAAATAACCATTTCTTTGCCATAAACTATTAAGGGTCGGTGTTCTACCTACCCCTTGGTAGGAAGCATTGTTGCATGCCCTCTGTTTTTTCAGGTGAGGATAAAGGGGGAGTGTGCTAGAGAGGTGATGGCAGTGCAGGTAGAATGGTATATCCCCTTCTGTTCCTCAATAAGGTATGTGTAGGTGCTCTCTGCACTGGATAAGGCAGTGTTAAAGCTTAGCCTTCTGTCCCTCTTGGAATCATGTTGGAGAGTTGGTATGGAGAGGGAAGAGTACTTTGCAGTCTGGAAAAGAGGCAGTAGGGCAGAGAAGGGTGTTTGTCTCCTTCACTTAACTGGAAAATACAAGTCACCATTTAGGATCTCTCAAGTATGTGAAAATATAATCTGGGAAATGCTTACCATGCTTACCCCATGGCTGCAGTAATAGTGAATTCTTATTATCTGATAGGCCTGCTTCAAAACCCACGTGGACAGGAGCAGTTTTTCCTCTTGTTTCTGGCTTGTTGGGCACTTGGCAGTCAGTGTCTGTAATCTAATAATCTTGTGTCACAGCTAAATGTAGGAGGAAGTTCTTGATCCAGAAATCCACGAGTCCCTAGGGATGTAGGCATACTGATGTTTGCTGAAAAGGAAACAGACACAAAGCTCTCCTGATGTGAAGGATACCCCTGTCTTGCTGAACTGAGGAAGGTGATCCTGATTTGACTTTTTTTCTTCACCTCCTCCAACCTTCCTCCTGTCTTCTAGAGAAAGTTCACTCCTGTGACCAGGAAAGGCAGAGCGCCCTGGAGGAGGCCAGGCAGAACCCCCGCGAGGGTATCGTCATCCCTGAGTGTGCACCTGGAGGGCTCTACAAACCAGTGCAGTGCCACCAATCGACTGGTTACTGCTGGTGTGTCCTGGTGGACACGGGACGTCCCCTGCCTGGCACTTCCACGCGGTAAGAGCTGTAGACCTGGTGAGATGTTCAGCCTGGAGAAGACAGGATAAAAAAACAGTACTGTTGCTATATCAGATAAGTTCCTACTTTTAGAATAGTCAGCTCTCTGCTGCCTTCCTTAGAGCTAGCAGTACCGTATGTTACATTCCCTACTGAATGTTCCTGTGCAGCTCCCTCTCTGTATGCGCTGGTGAACAGTAACTGCTGCCCTTACTTTCCTCTGTGTTAAATATTCATGCAAAGCAGCTTTTATTTTTTTTTTTTTTTGTCTGGCTTGCAGGTTTTGGGTGGTAGCAGGAACCAGCACTTTTCTCTAGCGCAGATCAGGGGCATGAGCAATGAAAAGATAAGTGGCTTTGTTGCATTGTCCTCTGCTTTATCCTTCCATTCTGCAGCCACTTGGATCCTGACCAGCAGAGATTTAAAAGGCTGCTTGGTTGTGCATTGATAGATTTTAAGCCAGTGACAGATTTTTCTTTAAGTTATTCTGTACCTTGAAACTACCTGGGGAATCTTTCCTCACTTGGGTTTGGAAACAGACTGTGTTTCCTATGTCTGGCAAGTTAGGAAAACAGGAGAGTAGGAGCTGGGACCTAAATTCTGCTAAATACAGTGATTCTGCAGAGCATTGACAGCCTTGGAAAAAGCTCAGTCAGTGCCCGCAGGGTCTTGTGTGCTGTTTGTGGGTTTGGGTTGGTAACTGGTACTGAAATTCAGAGTATGCTCTTCCTTCTCTCTCCACTTCTGTGGCTGACTGTCTATAAGCAGACAGATGCTTGGAATGTTTCTTCTGCAGGTTTATTAGTTTCCCTTGCAGTAAGCAGGTGAGACACAACCCCTTAGCAACCATCTGATGACACTAAAGCTGTATCACATATTTTACCATCTGCTGTTCTTTTTCAGCTACGAGACCCCAGTGTGTGAAAGCGATGCCAGATCAAAGAGCACAGAGATTGATGATCCATTCAAGGACAGAGAACTTCCAGGTCAGAGAGGAAAAAGAACCCATCTCTGCCTTCTTCTCTTGTCTCACCTTGGGACTCTTAAGAGGCCAAGAATATTGTTGAGGAGTTAGGGCATTTCCCTCACTGTGCATATTTTACCATGGGTTTTATTCTGTGTTATTTTGGTTCACCTCCAGTTTCAGCAGTGAACTGGGAAAAGCTGGGGTTGTCCTTGGGGCCAGTTCGTTGCCTGTCTGCCCTTTGAAAACATACCTGGGATCAGAATTTTCAGGAAAGAAACCTGGATGCCTGGAGGTCTCCTGGGGAAGAACGGGCTCAGCACTGGAACAACTTCAAAGCCTGGCTTGGACAGGTTCCTTTTCATTTAGCAGGGCTTTTCAGCAGCTTGATGCTCCCTAAGCAATGAAAGAGGACGCAGCTGGCAATAGTGGACCAGCTGGCTCTCTGACACTGCAGGACCATTTCTGGTGCACTGAGGTCCCTCAACTGACTCCTCACTTAGCTGAACTTTATCCCTCATTTTCTTCCTGGGACCTGCTTTATCTCCCATTGCTGCTTGTTTTATATTATGCTTTTCCCTCTTAACAGAGTGACAAGCCATAATTTACTATTTGCCTACCCTGTTACTGCCAGGAAATGTGCTGGGTATAGGTGTCTGTGCAGCTCTTAAAAATGTTATCCTACCTGCCTATGCTCTGTTTTTTCCTTCCTGTTGCCCTTCTAAAGAGCAGAATGAATGGCCTCACTGACAGGTCAGCCATCGCCTTCCTGGGTGCTGGCTGCTTGGAAACAGAAGCTACAGCGGGACCCTCTTCACTGTTAAGGAGTGATAGAGACCAAGAACTCTGCAGAAAGAGCTGGTAGCTCTGGATCCACTTCATTTTCTCCTGGTCCTTTCTAGAGCTAGCATAAAGTGAGTTGTCCCTGAAGAAGTTAGCAAAGGAAATGAGATTTGTTCCGGATTTGCCTTGTGTCTCCTAGTTCTTCTCCTGCCGGCTACTGACCTCCGGCCCTGTAGCTTTCTGCTTAGCAACTCTGCCCTCAGCAGGGCTCTTTTCTATTCAGCTTCTCATTTTCACCAATCATGTAGAAATTTCCTATCTGTCTCCCTCTCACATTCAAATGAAACTGGCCAGGTGGTTCAAGTATTACTTTGGGGGCTGGGGGAGGGAAACCAGCTAAATGATTGCATTAAGCCTAATTTCCTTAGGAAATCATGCTAAAATAGAATAACCTTACTTCCTTTCTTCAACATCCCTTCTCCCCTTGCTTTACTGCCTCTTCCTGCACTTCCCCCTGCCTCTCAAGAACTCCACTGTGAAAATCCTTTGCTCTTGGGCTTTTTCTTCAAGACTCTTTTTCTGATCTCAGGAAGACAGAATGGTCTCGTTTCCCTTCTCCCTCCCCTTCTGCACTGCAGCTTGACAGGGGACAGGAACTGCTTGTTGCAGAAGAGGACATAATGATGCTCTGTAGCCTAGTGGTCTGGTCCCAGCATCAGACTCCAGGAACATTCCTCTCCCAGCTCAAGCCACTTTTCTGTGTCTGAGTAAACTTTCAGCTCTGTGCTTGGCTGCATTGCCTGGCATGATGGTTCCTGTCACTGAAAATTCCCTTGTCAATGGAGAGATTAGGAGATGGAGTATCTGATCCTGGTTTGTCTGCCTGAGAGGTCCTGTGCTGCATGATCTTTTGATGCAGACTTGGTTTGTTTGATTAGCTGCTCTTGTACGCAGAAATTCCCTGGAGAGACAGACTGCAGGGAGTGAGAGAGGATGCTTCTTTTTATTATTTTCTTCCACTCTTACTTCTTAGCAGAACTGAATTTTAAGAAAAAAAACAACCCTGCTTTAATTCAAGGCTCATCATTCCATTTGCACTCAGTTCTGTAAGGGGACCCCATACCTTATTCTGCTTCTAGAGGTCTGCCCATTCTTCAGACTCTCAGTGCTGCTTGGCCTGTGCAAAGAGATCCTGCAGAGGCCAAAGTGGGGGAGCCGTAAGTCCAGATCCTCGCACACCTACACATACCCTCTTCACAACTGTGTCATGGCTGTGGCCAGAAGAAAGAAAGAAACAAGAAAGTGTTGCTTGCACATAGCAAATGGCAAGCTGCTAATTCCTGCAGACGGTGAGATGCTGAGGCCCCAGGGAGATGACTTTTAGCAAATGGTTTTTCAACCTTCTCATTACTGCAACAAAAAGCTCCTTTAAGTGAGTGGTCTACTCTGGCTGCAATAGCGGCTTACCCATTACAATGCTGACATTTTCTGGACCATGTGCCAAACGAGTGCTGAGGGGTGTGCATGTGGGTAATATGCATAATGTGGAGACAGCCGAGAGACTGTTGGTTAGCTGTTGCGAAGAACGGGGCCTGTAATGCTGCAAAGGAGGGAGTTTTGTCAGATCAATTTGCAAGCTGCTTTCAGCTGTCAAGGGATTACAGTAAGTTTCTGGTGTTCTGTTTGGGGTACACGTGCTACTCTGCTTGCCCACAAAAAGCAGAAATGTTGACACTGCTGTATGTTGCTGGGGAAGGCTGTTTCTGGACCTCTGCTGTCTTAATCAGCTGACTAATGTAGTGCATGGTGGTTTGGGGAAAGAGAAGAGGTGAGGGATGTGGTGATGGCCAGTCTGTCACGTCAAGAGGAGACAATAGGATGGGAGGTGATGGGTTTTGGAAAATAGTTTTGGAGGTGGTGGGTTGAAGTTAAGTATGGTCGTTCCTTGGTAGGCTAGAGCAATTGCTACAGTATTAATGTGGTAGTAAGTGAAGCATGATTTTGCTCCTTTAAGAGGCAAGGAAACAGCATAGATTGCCTCATAAAGGTGAGGAGATGGAGAATTTCATCTCAACTGTGTCATAACAGGCTGGCACTGTTAAGGGCAGGAATCTCTGTCAGTCTGTGGTTATGATGATGGGGAATTAGACAGCCTCAGCAGTAAGTAATGGAAATGGTTACCAAGCTTGCTTTCAGCTCACTTTGTCCTGCTTAAGCCAGCAGTGACTGGGGGCGATTACCACGTGTTGATTTAGACTGACGTGTTTCCCGTGCAGTGTGATCATGCTAAGAACTGAATTATTGTGGTAGCTGCTGGCAGGCAATGCTGTCTGTGCCTGGAGAGGAGAGTGCAGGCAGCAGTCCTTGCTTTGGCCTGTGCTTTGGGAAGCATTAAGCTGTCAGTTAGGACCTCGGAACAGCAATGTTTGTAGAGGAAGATGACCCAGGAGGTAATGAGTTGTTTTGTAAACTTATCTGCAGGTGTCACCGTGGGAGCTCCCATTTGCCAGGTGCTTTCAGCACATCCCTGTGGTTACACTGCTAGAGAACTGTGAGAGGCCATAAAGCTAACTACATGGTCTTCCTGACGGATATTGATGGTGACCCTGTGTGTGCCTGGACAAAAGCTGCAGGACAAATTGCCACACAGAGAAACCCACTGAGGGATTCTTCTGCCTCTCCTTAGGGACTGTAATGGTGACTGCCATGTTACAAACAAAGGCAGTTCTGGCTGAACTGGGGTAAGAGACCAACCCTGTCTATTCTTGCATTAAACATCCTTTTTTCTTTCTGCAGGCTGCCCAGAAGGGAAGAAAGTGGAATTTATTACCAGCTTACTTGATGCTCTGACTACGGACATGGTACAAGCTATTAACTCGGCAGCACCTACTGGGGGTGGGAGGTGAGTCCAGAAAGCACTCAGCCTGAATGCCGCCAAGGTGGCTGCAGAGCCCTGGGTGCCCCTGAGGTGGGGGCAGGAGGGAAGGGTGTTGCTCTGATTCAGGTTCGTCTGGGTTGCTGGGAGAGGAGCTGAGGATGCATCTTCAGACACTGCTCTGTCCTGTCATCCTAGCCCTGTCTGCCTCCTCCTGCCCCCCATCCCGGGCAGCTGCTCCACCATAAAGGTTACTATAGCCCATTTGAAGTGTGAAATGAGAGCTCAGTGGGAGGAAGTGGCTTGTTCTTTTGTCCCCTGGTGCATGAAAAGACCTAATAAAATGCAAATGGATTGAAGGAGACCGTGTGGCCTAGTAGCTACCACAGGGAGCGAAGAATGTGAATTCTTGGCAGTACCAATGCTGTGGTTTTGCTGTGGGGCTGGAGCCAGCCAGCCGATAGGGGAGGAGCTGTTTTTCATGGCCCTCCCCTCTGACCAGCTGCCTATTGCTCTTGGTTGGAGCCAGCAAGTCAAGCCCATTGCAAGAGGTGGGCAGAAGCCTGCGTTGCTGGGGAACCGGGGAAAAGTTGAGGTCTTGTCTCCCCCTTCTGCTTAATGACAGCAAATCCCCTTAGTGCAGCGGCTGTAACGCTGCAGCAGGACAGTCCGTTGGGAACAGACCATGTTGGATTTAAAAGAAGCGCTATGTTGCCTCAGCTAGGCAAGGCTTCTATGGTTCTGGATTCCCCCACTTATAAGAGGAATCAGTGCTAGTTAGCACACAAGGATGCCATGATGACTGGTGTGCTCATGTTCAAAAGGGTGTAGAGATGAAGGAAGTGCCTCTGTGCATGTGTTACTTCTGTGGGTATTCCTCCAACGCATTGAGAATAACGTTGACCTCCTCCTTTCAGAACGTTGAAGGAAGCAGTACCATCTTTTGCTATTCAAGACAAAAACTTCATGGGTGGCACTTCTGTGCCCCTTAGTTTCAGTATGCATTGCTTGTAAACCCGTATGGTTTTAACTTCTCATTTGGACCTTACAAATCAAGTCAGTGGCTGGATGCCGACACGCTGAATATTCTGTAACCCATCGAATTAGCAGTATATGCCTAGCATGTCTGTATTCATATAAACAGGATGAAAAATACCCCAAGGATGGGAAATACATCGTTTTCTCCCAGCCATAAGCATTCCAATGTCAACTCTGTCTAATTTGCATGGTTCAAATACAGTGGGTATGGGTGGCAGGAAGCCCTGGAGAGTATTTGATATTTATTTGGCATCCTTGGCACTGGGACTGAAACCCAGCCAATGTAATCATCACTCTTAAAATAAAGCTTAGTATAATCCAATATTGTAGAGACCAGAGATGTATGCCCCCACTTCACTTCTATAAACCAGCAGGCTTACTTCCTAATGTTCCCCAAGCTTTGTGTATTTCTCAGCTTTCAATAGAGGCCTTTCTGGTGGAATTTTTCACTGCCCAGCTCTTCACGCAGTTGTTGATTTATTTTCAGTTCCAGTGTTGGCAGCCCAGTTGCAAGGGGAAAAAGAAATCTTTTAGCAGACTGTCCTTTGTAAGGCGAAAGACTGCTACCACCTAAATACTCTGCCTGCCACAGCCACGATGAAATTCAGGAAACTGCTCTGGCATAAGCCTCTCTGTGCATCAGCTAGGCTAAACGCACACCCCCAAAGAATCTGCATCAAACTTTTCCATCCCTCCATGTCATGATGGGACCATTTATTTTGAGAAAAAAAAAAAAAAAGGCATTTCAAGAAATTTTTTGGTAATGACAGCAATTAAATCAGTACAGCTTTCATTTCATATGAGTTTGCAGAGTTAGGAGGCTGTCTCTGTCCTGTGGGTGCCACTTTCCAAGTTTCCTGAAGGGAGGAACGTCATGAGTCCTCTCTTCAGGAATATCTGAACTTGTCTGGGTGATCTAACTTGACTTTGACACTGGAAATGAAAGCTCTTTTCCAAGACGAAGGGATATTTTAGCTGTAGGGTTAATCATAGGGCTAATGAACTTCCAACCTTGACAACTAACAAAATACTGCATTTATGACAGTGCTTATCCTGTATCTCCTTGGCCCAGGTTTGCTGAGAAGGTCATGTTGAACATAAAACTAGGGATCTGGCTATTTGATTTTCCTTAATGTCATTCATGTCAGTTTTAATGTCTTAATGTCAGTTCTCTTATTTGTGAGGCAAGCTTCATCTGTTGCAGGCTCTTCTCCATCTTTGCCATAATGATGGCAAAACAGGTTCTGTATTTAAACACACACTGGCTCCTTCTGTAGCCTCCTTTTTTCTGTTTCTTTCAGTGTTCAGCATTTCATCCTCTTGGGCGTTTTTTAGAGTTTGAACAAATGCGTCCAATGATCCAAGGTAAATTTTTAATATATCACCAGCAAAGCTTATGCCTGTTGCAGGGGGCAGGCCTGGCAAATGGCAAGCTATCCCTCAATGTCAGTTGGCCCCCCATGTTATTCTGTCTATTTTGCACAATCAGAGAAGCAGCAAGTAAGAATTTTAGGGTAGGGGAGGGAGTATTTCTGTTTCTCTGTGGCAGCAGAGAGATGATATTGGCGTAAAATATGTGTCTTTAGTCAACATTAAAGTACAGGCCCAAATGCAGAGAAGAGCCTTTCCAAAAGTGTCAGGGACTAAAAAAGCCTAACTCAGCCTTCCTTAGAGTATTAAAAGAAAGGGAAGAAAAGGTTGAAAGATTATTTTTTATAATCTGAGTATCTCTACAGGGACTAAAGCTCTGCAAGTTCTTTAGTCTAGCAGGGAAGAGCATGATTAGCTGAATATAAACAAACTTGTGACCAAAATTTCTTTAAAGTGAGGGCAATTCTAAGGCAGAATAAAGTCATGAGGGAGGTGACAGATTCCCTTTCTCTAAGGCTTTCATCTTAGGCCTGATGCCTTTCAGAAGGACTTGCTTTGGTCAAACCCGAGTTATGGTCCAAAGAGTAATTTGATTTACATTCTGAGTGCATGATATACGGGAAATCAGATTAGATTACCCTGCCGCCTTCAGTCTGAATCTGGATATATGAGGGAAAACTTCTTGCATTTGCTCAGTGTCTTCAAAACTTTACTTATTTATGCTGAAAAGCTGTCTGCGGCTTTGCAATTAACATCCATATTAGCTTTTTGGGAGGAGCATGGGGAGAAACGAGAGAGATCTGCATTTAAAATACTACACAGAGCTGTGCTAAATTGCACACTTTATACTTGGCACACACAAAAACAAGCTAGTAGCAGCAAAGTGTGGTTGTACAACTTCGATTGCTGCAGGCCATGTAAGTAAAACCTGCTAAGACATTTTTTTTTATTGGGCATGCTTAAAGCAACCTTGTAATCCCTTATAGGTCTTGTCTTGTTTAAGCCAGTTCAAAGCTATTGACTTTAATTGAGTTACTCTTGCTTTACAAGAATGTAAATGAGATGAGAACTTCCCTTCCTTGTGGCCCTGGTTTATATTACAGCAAAATAGGCAAGTAGACTTCATTTAGACTTTTGAAACAGAAAATCTCTGGTAAAATTCATTCTTAAGTTTATGTAATAACTCCAAGGCACATCATGTTACTTGTAATTGAGGGAGCGCTTGTAGGAAATTGGTTTATTAAGCAGTGTTTGGTATCCTTTTTGAAAAAGCACGTAGCTGAAATCATTCATATATAAATCCTATATAGTAAGAGCGGTACTTTTTAAAATTTAGACTTTGCTTTGGTACATTTTAGTCTGTTTTCTAATTCAGGCATATTCATATGACCCTTTGGGAAAATATTGCAATGTATGCATCATCTTACGTGCACTTGTAGCTGCCTTCTGGTTTTTCCCATCCCTAAACTCTTTCAGTGAGCTCCTGTCTTCAGTGGCACAGTGCAGGGTCTCTCTGCCTGGCTTTGCAGACAGGAGCTGAAGCACCAGAAGTTTAAGGAGCAGAGTTTTTAAGCATTTCCTTATATATCTCAGTAACATGTTGCATGAGAGCTTTGGTGAGGTTTGCCACGGACTCTTCACTAGGGACTGTAGTGATAGGACAAGGGGTAATGTGTTAAAATTTAAACAGGGGAAGTTTAGATTGGATATAAGGAGGAAGTTCTTTACTGTGAGGGTGGTGAGGCACTGGAATGGGTTGCCCAGGGAAGTTGTGAATGCTCCATCCCTGGCGGTGTTCAAGGCCAGGTTGGACAGAGCCTTGAGTGACATGGTTTAGTGTGAGGTGTCCCTGCCCATGGCAGGGGGGTTGGAAGTAGATGATCTTAAGGTCCTTTCCAACCCTAACTATTCTATGATTCTATATGGAGCTTAAACTACCAAAGACCAAAGGGGATCCCAGCCTGGGTTTCCCTGATCTGAGGAACTCTCTTTGGCCCCTGCCAATTCAAAATGAATTTTAGTTGCCAAAATGTGTGCACTATGGCTTGCTACATTATCAGCAAAAATATTACTGCCTTATGGAATTTAGGGTTAAAAGGGTAGCCACCCTTATCATGTAACACAGCAGCTTCATCCCTTCATTTTAAGTTGCCAATTATTCCCAATTTAATAGCCCTGAAAAGTACTTCAGAACATTGCCCCCGAGGTTCCCTTTCATGCTCTAGTTGAGAAGTTTGAAGCAGGCAAGCACAGCTCAGCACATCTCCAGGGTGTTCTGAACCCAAGCTGTATTTTAATAAAGATTGACACTTTCAAACAGTGCAGGGAAATTAATGCCCAACTCCTATTGCATTTCAGTTGACGTTGGGTATCAACTTTTCTTTGTGTTCCTATGGAAATTCTAGCCTAATTAAAGATATGGGAGAGTTCATGTAAGAGTAGGATCTTTGAACAGTCAATGAGGAGTGAAGGGAGGTGATTTTTAAACCTCCTAAATGATTTATCTCACAATCTTCAGAGAAGTTGCATTCAGAGTAATGTAGGAGAGGAAGAAACTGGGACTGTAATAGGAAGATAAGTTTTAAGCATAGAGGAATTATGCATTCTCCATAATGAAT